GTCCCCAGATGGAATGAGACAGTAGAGAGATACTGGATTTTTTTTTAACCCACTGCCAAGAAGTAGAAGTAAGACTATACTAACTTTACAGACCTGGGAATTCTGCCATCCACATGCAACTTTGGAGACATTAAAGATTCCTTAATTAAAGACAGGAGCCTTTGTGGGAAATGTGATTTCAGCTTACAAGAGAGATTGTTGAGAGTAACAGATCTGACTGCAGAGAAAGGACTCCAAATAGCGAAGGCAGCTAAACCATCCAAGCAAAGGATCGAAACAATAACAGCCACTGGTGGAGAACAAGTTTAGAGGCTCAAGCTAAATGAACCCAGGGATCAGGAGAGAGACTGACCGATCATGAATGCAGATGACATGTATATACTGTGGAAAGCAACACTGATGCAAAGCCAGCAGCCCATACATGTGCTCAGATAGAAAAGGAGCTGCTGGCTGTTGTCTTTGGAATGGAACAATTCTATCAGTTCACCCTTAGGCACAAGATAGATGTGCTAGAAAGCAGCATGAACCACTCCTGAGTGCACCGAAGTGACACCAATGCATATTACTTGGTCAGTGCTATGAAGTGAGGATAAGGTACTGCCCAGGAAAGTCATGACTGGTGGCAGATACGGTGATCAGGGCATACCTTCCAAAGTACAACAGAGATGGATCTGTGGAGCAGGAGATATTGTAGCATGTTCATAGATTACTGTCATATCTCTGAGGGGAGGGTCCAGGCAATCCAAAAACAGCACCAACCAGGCTGGGATGCTACAGGCAGCAAAACTTTCATACTCAAGAGCTGGGCAGATCTCAAGGAGAAAGTCCCACAGGAGGTTGTCCTATGCTACCAGATCAGAGATGAGCTGTGTGTGCAAAATGGGGATTTTGTTTAAAAGGAACTGAGCAGTACTCCAACCAGATTTAAGAATTGATATCATTAGATGGGTACACACCTCACACCTACGGATAGAGGTATGCATGATATGAACCAGAGAGTGTACCTGTATATAGCCCCCCTTTCCTCCCTGGGTTACTCAGGAGCAGACAAAACTCATCTGTGTGCCTGGGTGCCTGATGTTGTTCAGAGGACCTTCTAGTAAAGGGTGCTTACATGTAGGACAGGCATAAATGCCCAACTGAGAGCGACATGGAACAGTGCAAGGGGAGAAAAGAGTATAGGGACCAGCCACAGAAGGAGACTCTAGAGCCTCAGGAAATCTGAATCTGACCCTGGGAAAAGGCTGGATTACAGATCTATTCACTCTCAGTAGCAGGAAGTACATGGTTACAGTAAGTTACTACTCCATTTTCTGGGAGAAGGACTGTATGGAGGACACTCAGTCAAGACCTGTGATCTGGAAACTGATGGTAATTTTGTAAGGTACAACATGCCCAACATGTTATACTCAAACAATGGGCCACAGTACTCTGCATCTGAATTTGAACGATTCAGCATCAAATTGGAATTTTAACACAAGATATCTTCCCCTGGGTAACCAAAAAGCAATGGGAAGGCAGAGCCAGTAGTAAAGTTGGCCAAGAGACTGAACAGACTGATTTAACAGACAGAAAGGGGTCCATTGCTGACAACGTTGGACCATCGCAATACACCCTACAATACCTAGGGACTAGGTATTAGCCTAGCACAGGGACTGATGCGTATGGGGCCAGAGAACCAAGACTCTGCTTCCCACGAGGGGTAGTCTGTTGCAGCAGACTGTGGAGACATACAAAGGAATAATGAACAAGACACAGAAGCAGTTAAGAGAATGCCAAACTAAGCTTATAACTTGCACCTACAGTGTAGCCAAGACCCGAGTCCACTGTATAGAGGTGATCAGGTCTGGCTCCAACCTTCAAATAGCCACACAAAGCAATTGCAAAAGCAGCAGTGCAAATAGCAGTGGGTCACAGGTCACATGATGTGGTTATGTACTCAGGACAGCAGGGGAGACCAAACTGAAGACCATTGCAGAGTAGCCGCAGACGGCTGGTACACCCAGACAAACAGGGCAAGGTCAAGACCAGGAAGACTCAGAAACAGCCTCAGCTGTTCTGATGTAGAAGTCAGAAGAAACAAGATATATGGACAGCACAGATGGACAACAGGATGCCACTCACCAGAATGAAAACAGCAACAGATGGAAGCAAGTCCCGCATGAACAGTGATAACACAAACAAGAAGTGGGAGACTTGTTAGAGGAATAGCACCCCAGGACTGTGGGTAGTGGCAAAGGCCATGTCTCTGTGGTGAGCTATGTACTAGTCACCTCTGGCCCCACCAAGTCAGCAAATGATGCACAATAAAATTGTTACAAGATGAAGCATGCTGCATGGAACTTGGAGGGAGGAGCATAGATTTCAGGAAGGAAGAATTTGGAGGAGGGACCAGATAGTCAGGAGGTGTGCACATGGCTAGAATTCTAGCTGCACCATTTCTGTAAATAATTTTCTTAATAAAGAACCAGTTTAGTTTTAGAAACATGGAATCCTTTTATGTTACAGTATTACCTTGGATGCAATACACGAAAGGCACATCAACCTGCTGGAGTCAAGTCCCTTAACTTTTCCTGAACCATGTGCTTGCTTGGGTTGAATGTGCTTGTGGGCAGTCCCTGGCTTATTGCAGGCAATTCTTGCTTGGTACAGGCATGACAGTTCAGCTCTTCACCCAGTAATTTCTCCTTTTCTCTGGATCAGCCCCCACTGGGTCTTAAGCGTACAGATTAAGCAGCCAGACATTTCTTTTTCATTTCATTTTCATTTTCACAGCTGCCTTTTGGCTCTAGGAGTTCCTTTCTTAAGCCCCCCATATGGCAAGGAAGATGCATCTATAATTCAGGCTATCATCAAAAGCATTCAGCATTGGCCAAGCGCTGCTCCTATTGGAATCATTGGGCATTTCCCCATTGACTTCAACAAGAACAGTTAGGCAAATACTGAGCACTTTTGAAAATCCCACTCAGTATTTTTAAGCATGAATTACTCCTCCATGCTCTCATGTATTCAGGATTCTTGTAGTGTGAGGTGCTGAGCACCTTCTGCCAGATGTTGAGCACTCTCAACTCCCAATGAAGTCAGATGAGTCTGATACTATTGAGCATCTTGGAGAATCGGGGTCTGTGGCAGAACATTAATTGGATAATTTAATTAGAACAATCATTTATTTTCCAATAATTTATTTCCTATTTTGAAAATTTCCATCTTTGAGATACTAGGTATGGCTAGCTAGACAGAAGCTCTGTATTCTCTTCACAATTCCCCATATTTTTCCACAAGTATATAGATATTTCATTTAATTCCTTGCCAGCCTTCCTTTGTGGCATCTGCTTATTTATCACTGTCTTTAAGATCCCTTATCCACTTGGTAATGCTCATATTTTTGGTCCCTTGGTTACTGCTATTATAAATTATTATCCAGCAAGATTTATAGCTGTGAGACTTGTATAAATAATCTCCTCTGTTTAATGGCTTAACAGTAAGAACCCTTTGTTATTTTGTAATGAAACCATATGTATAATTTCTTGATACGTTTTTTGTGGGTATGTCACAAAAATTTAGGTCAGTAACAGACCTACATCAAAATCTTTGACAGGCCACAAATTGTACCACATCATGTTTACAGTGATTCTCAAAGTATATAAATGGTGTACGTAATGTAATTTTAGCCTTTTCATAGTCAACTGATGCCTGAGCTCTTTCTCTAGTAGAACATTGATCAATTGATGAGTTTCTTATTGACCTATTTGATGCTGTCTCATTTAGATGCTTGTGGAATAATCAAATACAATTAGAATTTAATTTCTGTGTTGTAGGATCTCATGGATAGTGTATGTATTTTTTTATGGTTCTAACAGTGGGTTTTGAAGCTGCTGCTGCTTTTTTTTTTTTTTGGCAAGTCATGTGTAACCTTTTGTTCAAAATAGGCTTTTGAATTCACTAGTTTTTGGAGCTGAGGTTAAGAGGCTAATAAGAATTAGCAGGTCATAAAAAGAACAGGAGTACTTGTGGCACCTTAGAGACTAACAAATTTATTAGAGCATAAGCTTTCATGGGCTACAGCCCACTTCTTCGGATGCATATAGAGTGGAACATATATTGAGGAGATATATATACACACATACAGAGAGCATGAACAAGTGGGAGTTGTCTTACCAACTCTGAGGCCAATTAAGTAAGAGAAAAAAACTTTTGAAGTGAAAATCAAGATAGCCCAGTACAGAAAGTCTGATAAGAAGTGTGAGAATACCTACAAGGGGAGATAGATTCAATGTTTGTAATGGCTCAGCCATTCCCAGTCCTTATTCAATCCTGAGTTGATTGTGTCTAGTTTGCATATCAATTCCAGCTCAGCAGTCTCTCGTTGGAGTCTGTTTTTGAAGTTTTTCTGTTGTAAGATAGCTGTCATTGAATGGCCAGACAGGTTAAAGTGTTCTCCCACTGGTTTTTGAGTATTATGATTCCTGATGTCAGATTTGTATCCATTAATTCTTTTGCGTAGAGACTGTCCGGTTTGGCAAATGTACATGGCAGAGGGGCATTGCTGGCACATGATGGCATATATCACATTGGTAGATGTTCACCTGCACATCTACCAATGTGATATATGCCATCATGTGCCAGCACATCTACCAATGTGTGTGTATGTGCATTCAGTGTAGGATATTGGATGTGGAACAGTGGAAAAGTAAAAGTCCTTATTGCTTGAGAAGTTTAACACACAAGTAGAAACTTAGAAATCATATTGTAGAAAATATCCCTTTACTAGAAGGGGAATGGACTAGATAGCTTACTGTGTTAGGTCTTTTTTCCATCTCTAATTTATATTATTCTAATTGTAGCATTGATTTGATTAAATATCAGAATCAAACACACGTGACCTTTTTCTCATGACATTTCATAAGTTTTACTATCTTTATCTTCAAAAGGAAGCACCTTTATTTTTTAAACGTGGACACATACAACTAATATATAACCTCTGGTGATATATTTTTCAGCGCGAGAAGCTGATACATGAGTTGGAGGAAGAAAGACATTTGAGACTTGAGAGTGAAAAAAGATTACGGGAGGTGACATTGGAGTCGGAGCGTAGCAGAGCTCAAATGCGTGGATTGCAGGAGCAGTTTTCGAGGTACGTTGTGATGGTAAACATTATTCACAATATAGAAAGAACGTTTTGATACAAAAGTGTCTGAAACCCTCTGACAGTGTGCTCAGCATGAAAGGAGGCAAAACCTCTCATATAATTAATTGGGAAAATCCATTATGCTTCTGGGTAAATGATTTATATGGCCTATAGAATTTAAGAGGATTATACCTTGTTGTAGAATTCCATAGGATGGTATAAACAAAATCCGTGGAAATGCAATTACTATCTATTATATTTCCCAGTGTGTGTGTGTGTGTGTGTGTGTGTATATATATATATATATATATACT